GTGTACCGGGGTAGGGTGTAATCGGTCGGAGCTGAAGAATGCTCTGAGCTATACCTACATGACTTGGCGCTTAGTTAAGCACAGGGACAGCTTTACATATCATCATCATCATCATCATCATCACTGGCAAGACAGCCCTTTGTGAGCCCTGGCCTTCCTCAGGATTGCTCGCCATTCTTCTCTATGCGATGCTACATTCCTCCAGTTCTTTACACCCAAAATTCTTATATCCTACCACACACATTCTTCCCATCTTAACCTTGGTCTTCCCACTCTCCTATTTCCTTCTGGTTTAGTATTAAGCATTTTCTTGATGGTTCTATTCTCGCTGGCACGTATTGTGTGTCCAGCCCATTGAAGCCTTTTCACCTATCAGCTTTACTTATCGTCACATGAATACTGGGAGCGTTGTGTCAAACTTCTGGGCTAAAATGAGATAATTCAGTTTTTTTGCATTATCCTCACCTTGCTTGCAAGTATGGCATTTCAGAACGTATTTTGTTCTGTGGTCTAGTGGTCAGCGTTTCTGGCTACAAATTCAAAGGTCCGGGTTCGATTTCTGGCGCTACCAGATTCTTTCTGAGAAGTAGTGGGTCTGGAACGGGGTCCACTTAGCCTCGTGAGGATACTTGAGGAGCTGTTTCAAGGAAATAGTGGCTCCGGTCTAGAGAACCGAAATTAATGGCCGTAGGGATTCGTTGCGCTGACTACGCGACACCCTCTATCCGCAAATGTTGGCACTAAACTTCGCCGACAAGCGGCGGTCGCTCGGTCGGTATAGTTCGCTTGTGGACTAAAATCACGGAGTTTGATTTTGTTTTGTTCTAAGTCACTTCAAATCCAGTTTCCCGAAAATCTGTATTGATGGACATGGTACATTTTAACACTCAGTGTGACCACCGTGTTCTGAATGGCTCACAACTTCATAGTAAGGAGACAGGAGGCTGCTAACGTGTCTGTTGGGACTTCGTCGCATCACTCAACAGCACATTTAGACACGAAAGAATATACTTGAAGATACTTTTCCGCGTATTTTCATGCCTCACCCACGAGGGTCGGTGAAAGATGAAGTTGCTATTCTCAGAGCTGACCAGCCTATGGACCAGATTCCATTAGAGATACATAAGCATGACGAGACCAGCAGAAACTTGGCAAACCCCGCCCGGCACGGTTACTGACCCAAGGCATATGTGACGTCAACCAATCAAAAGAGAAGATCTACATATACAGCTTGTGTTCTGCCTCGCAGCAGATTTGTTGTTGACTGTTTGCCTAGACCCACATCTAACCCTTTACAACAGTGGTAACTATATGCACCACCTCTTGTAATATTAAATTTATATTTTACAGTGTGATTCTCTCGCTAGGAAACCAGAATATTCTTCAACAGTTTAATTTTTTTATGGTTCCCCATGAAAATAGACATGGACGAAGCCTACGTGTGTCGAAGCAGAACCATCACACCCCTCAACGAAATGGACTGTACCCATGACGTCGAGAAGCGCCCGTCAAACAGGCGTTTGACTCAGTGTATTTGTATGTTCCGTATGGTTCTCACAGTAAACAATGTTAATTTTCCGGCCTTTGTATTGCAATCGCAGAATATTTTCTGTCTTTATCCTCGGTGGAAACGTCCCCAGTATCCGTTGGATAGGAGGCTCGGTGGGCCCCAGAGCCGTTCTGGACTCTGTGAAGAACAGATAAAGTATCTTGAACCTTCGAGAATCGAATCCGGGTCGTCCAGCATGTCGTTATAGCGACTGAGCTATCCCAGATGATGCTCCTCTGGATGGTCTGAGGAAAACCATGGACCTCGATTGGTTCTACCGACGTACCTGCAAGGGAAATTAGTAACCTCCGAGACCGTATTCTCTTTCGTTATACGTCTGCGCGCGAAGAAAGAAACGAAAGCATTTTATGTCGTTCAGTCTTATGTACTTATGTAAGAGCGGTTTAGAGCCATCATTTAGTTCGTAAAGAGCTAACATAATATTTAAGCACCACGGCCTGAAGACTTGCGGGAAAGTGGGAAGTGTGTAGCTTCATACGTTCTTAAACTCTGCACTGGCTAATGACGAGTGGTTAGCTTCACGATCCGGCCATTCTACCGCGAGATGGACGTCCCCTCCCCCGGTACCTATTGGATGTACCGCAGAGTCGGTTTCGATTCCGGTGAACCGAAGATCCCCTTGCCCCTGTTTGGAATCAAACCTCAGTTCCTCATTTCGTCTATTTAGCAGCCCAGTTAGTTTAATTCCTCACTCACTCACTCACTCACTCACTCACTCACTCACTCACGGAGCTGACCCTTCTTGATAAGCCGCCAATTGTGCAGCTCCTGATGAAGAACTTCCCAGCATTTTCGGAACCCGAAGGTTCATTACCGTGTTCACAAGAGTCCTCCACTGGCCCCTATCCCGAGTCAGATTAATCCAATCCGTACCATCCGAATGGTAGCAAGCATTACCCGAATTCAGTCTCCTCTTAAATTTCTTCTTGAATCAGGTTTGGATTTGTTATAGTTGTTCCGAAATATCTGAACTGCGCCACATATTCAAAACATTTCTTGCCTATCTATATGTCATGATTTTGCCCTGCATTTTGGTGACGAGACAGCAGTTCAGATTATCTCAATTAATTTCGTTTGGATCCTGAAACCACTCCCATTGGTTTGTTACCTTTGGTCAAATAATTTTGAGCATCCTTCATCGAATCATGGCTTATGCTTCTTCGGTCCATAATAACCTTGACTCTCTTTGGCAGAAATTTTGATATGCTCTCCAATAATTTCCCAAGCTTTATTAACATCCACCTCAGTGTCTAAGTTTTCCAAAGCCGCGAACCTATTTGAGATTTCAACACGATGCTGCTCTTTACCATGTACCTCGTTTAATTTCTTGAGATTGATCCTCTCCATATGACCTCTGCGTTTTTCGCTCACTGCCAGTCTTTCCCTAACGTTTGCTAGCACCAGGTAGTGGTCAGTATCACAATCTGCTGCCCTGAATAATCGGACATCAGGTATATTTGAATGTCATTTCCTGTGTGTCAAATGCGGTAAATCTGGTTGTGCGTCTTCCCATCAGATCTCCACGTAAATTTAGGAATGTTACGATGTGGGAACATTGTACTTTTAATTGCTGTCATTTTCAAAATTACCGATACGATGAAGTTGCAATGGAAGGGGTGAGGGAGTGCCGTTGATGTGGGTGCAGTTGTATATTTGCCGGGCTCAGCTGGTTACACAATTTTCATGCAACGGTGAGGTATGGTAGGATCTGGTCCGGCTGTGATAGCAGCTTGGACTGTGAAGCTTTGAGCAATAGTTTCATAGAGGCCGTGCCATAGTTCAGACGGTTAGTCGCCGGCTTTCCAACACGGCGATCCGAGTTGTAGCCCGTGTGGGGTCATGTGGGATTTGTGGTGGACAGAGTGGCACACACTGTCTGTGGCTCTACAGCCCTTGTGGACCTTGGCAGCATTTTCAGTTTCTTAATCTACACACAGTCGGTAGGACTCCTTGGCCTGGGGATCAGGCAGTCGCAAGACCGCTACCTACACACACAGCAAACAAAAAGAGTTCCGTAAGCGGAAACAGCAGGCGTGTATAGGTGTACTCCACTGTGGAGTACAACATTTCCGATTGCATTCTCCGCGACATACAATTCACTGCTATTGATATTTATTAGCCATTGGTAAAATTCTTGTAGCAGGACACTTTGCCTGTTTAAAATCTGATATACATGAAAATAAAATTTAAAAATTATGTTCCTTCCTCGCGGCATACACGCTGCGTTTTCATTATAAAGCCCAGTCAGTAAATCCTGTTTAGCGGAACGATAGCTCCTTCTTCAGAGAGTTGTACGAAACATGTAAATCCACCCCGCGGGTAGAATGCAGAGTTGTTTAATGTTAACGCAGATTGTACGTACAATAGACACAGTGATTTAAATGGTTTAATTTAAATTCAAACAGGATAAGTATTTGTGATACTGCCGATGGCAGTAATTGTGAGAGCGAGTGTTCAATAAATTCGCTACATCCAATACGGCATGAAGTTATTCGTCACGTGACAATACTATTTAGGAATTAATTACTGTTTCGGTCTTCACATGAACAGGACACGAACGCAAACATACTGTGTTGGGTCTCATCTGTGGAGCTGCTCTCAAACTGACGTCTTTATGAACTCGGTTTCATTTCCATTTTCACATGCACATGATACCGACTGATTTGCGCCCTTCAAACCATGATTTTAGAACGTTATCTTGTTCGCCTGAGGATGGAAATAGAACCAGTGTTCGAAACATAGTGCTTTTAATTAATTTGGACCTGAACAATGTCTGTAATAATAGCTTCAGGCAACAATACTGGTACACGATGAGGTCATTGGATTTTTCAGTTTATCTAATCCTTCCAGCCGCACTATGGCCCTGGGGTCGACTCAGCCTGTAACAGAAAGGAGTACCAGGAGTCTTTCTAGGGGTTAAAGGGCAGCCGGCGCGTAGGGCTGACAACCTCACCGCCATTTGTAAGCCGGTTGTCTAGAAAATATGGGAGCCTCGACGTCTCACAACCCTATAGGCCTTCACAGCCTGTTACAGAGACAGCTTGGCGCGCAAGGCTAACAACCTTACCGCCACATGTGAGGCAGTTGTCTAGAAAATGTGGGAGCCTCGACGTCTCACACGCCTATGGACCTCCACGGCCGATTATAGGGATAGCTTGCCGTGTAAGGCTGGCAGCCTTACCGCCACCTGTGAGCAGATTGTCTAGAAAGTATGGGAGCCTCTACGTCTCACAACCCTATGGGCCTCCACTGCCTGTTACAGGGACAACGTTTACTGTTCTTGAAGAGACGACATATGCTTGCTTCTAAGTTAAGAATTGTCTGTAGAGATTCTGGCTCTTGTCTCAGGAAGGTTTTGACTGAGCTTGAAGCTTGAAGACAGGTGTGCCCAGATACGCTGTCCCATTTAATTCTTTTCTTTCTTTTCCAGATAAGGGTAAGTGGGTTCGAGACTTTACCGATCCAAACTCGAGGCCGACGCATTGAGGAACAGCGCACGAAGATGCCTGCGGTCAGTACGTGACTCTCTACTCATATCGATTTATGTTTCGTTCTCCTCGGTGTAACATTTCGACAGTATCGCCAGCCGAAAACGTACAGCGGTGAAAGGGGAAACTATAATTCAGATAAACTAAACGGAAACATATTTAAAATGTTCGATATGAGGCTCTCACGGCAATGAATGTTAGGCCATGTAGTTTGGACAGAACTATCGCCTCCATCTTCAGAGTCGAAAAAATAAGCCAAACAGTATTTGAGCTTGCCGCCTGCTGTCATTTGTACCTTATTTAACTTTTCGACCCTGAGAATGGAGGCTGTTTGTTCCTCCGAAACGTCGGGCTCTCTCAGAATTACACGGCGTTGCAACCCAGAAGATAATTTTTTTCGTAATATATGTAAATATATGTTAATTATATAATATTCTGCTACAGTAATCCTCAGATTCAATGGAGTAATCCGCTGTTTCGAATAACGAGCGGGGGCGAGACCCACTAATATCCCGTTAATATCAGTTAGGCCGTGACTGGACGACAGAGGAGTTGTTCGGTTCCCGACGGGACAGCAGATTTATATCTTTTTTCAAGACCGACCCTGGGTCCCACTGAGCCTCCTTTCGAATAATATTAGAGGCTCTTTCCCTCGGGGCGTGAGGCTAACCACTTACCTCTGTCTAGTGCTGGGGTCAGGAATGGTGGAGGTGTACCTCCGCTCACCCATGCGTTTTCATGGTGTAATGCGTAATTAAGCCCAGGGATAATTTGGCCTCTACCTTACCCACCTTAAGCAGACGAACTCGTCGCAGCTGACAGCATTACGCTGAAGGATTATTCGGACCAGACAGAAGGCAACAGGAGAATGGAGAATACTACGTAATGAGGAGCTTCACGATTTCTACTCTTCACTAAATGTTAATATATTATCTTCACTTGCTCAGTAGTACGCTGTAAAACATTGATTTTCCCCTTATTTTGTAAAGTTAGGTGATTTGGCTCCCATTCTTACGCGCAAGTTACTAAAATGTTGTCACCCACCATTTTCTTGAGCAGTTACATTTATGGTTCCCTTGGAAAATGTGCAACATCTCACAAAGATTCGGCATGAACAGTGGCAAGCATCCAGCTCTTCGTTAATACAATGCCAACTGTCACTCAGCCATAGGTCAAGAGATTGTCATATTGCTCACCGATTGGTCGAAAACTGCCACGTCATATCCGGACGTCTTCCTTTACAGTATATTGTATCCTAAGTATTGAACCTTTCCCCTTAGAAATGGTGCGTGGTACAGAATTCTGTGCTTCAGACTGAAATTCAGTTTATTTAAATTTCTTTTTATATAAAAGGGAAAATGCGTTTTTCGTTTTATTGTCCAGTGTTATTCACACAAATATGCGTGTGTAAGAATTCCTCAGTAAGTGTTAGTACAAATATTCCCATGAACTCGTTCTGTTGACCAGAGTTATCATGTTAAGTTGCGTGTGCGCATTAGTGTATCATTCCCAACAGCCAAAAATCACTTGAAGTGAAGTCAGGTTGCCATGGTGGCTACCGAAAACGTTAACATGTTACCCAATTGTTATTGTTAATTTCCCATGCTTCCTCCCCTATTACTTTCCCGTCCTGCATGTTATGAAATGAATGAATTGAGACGAACATTTAATGCCGTCTCCCACAAGCAGTCCTCAATCGTAAACCACCTCATTCATGTAGTATGCTACCCGTCACATGTCCACATCAGTACATTATCAGTACTGAGAGAATAGACACGATACGCTGGAACAATATACACTGCTTGGTGGTCCGTGACGTACTGCGCGGGAGAGTCAGTAAATAGGTCACAAATGGATATAAAACGTAAAGCATGTGATATTCGAACCTGGAAGCAAAAACATTTATTTCGACATATCCTTCCACCAACACCGATACAGTTGACCCCTTGCTTTACCAGTGCGTCGAAACCCGCAGCATAGAATTGTTTTGACTGTTGTCTCAGCCACTTTCACACTTCCGTTTCAACCTCTTCCATCAGCGAAACGTTTCCCACCCATTTGCGAACCGCTTTACGTAAACAGGAAACACTTCTTAATGAATAAACTTTGCAGTGAGTCTTTTTGCCTACAGAAAACGCATAACAGAACGCTGCTCTTCGGTAAAATACTCTTCCAGCACGGTCTTCATTTTGACTACTGAAGCCAGCTTCTGTACATGCGCATGCGCGTCTGTTACCTAACCTGTTATGAAGCTGGACTGTGCTGCTACCTAGTGATATAAGAAACCTATTACACCCATTACAGCTCTTTCACTTCCATGTGTGGCCTTTTTACTGACACTCCCTCGCATGTAACTTATGTTCGTGCAATTAAAGTACGAAATTTCAGACCTTTACTGTCATCCTTATGTTACTTTTTATGCGAAAGATGTGAAATTTAGCCATTTTAATTGCTCCTTCTCCAGTAACCTCCTGTATTAAAGCACATAACCTAACTTAAATAAAACGAATATTATTTACGGACCCCATCTTTGCTCTAGCCTATATTCATAACCACTCACTCAGCCGTATGCCATATTTTTCTGGATATTGCCCACGGTCTCTTTCATTGCGTTGCGTATCTCGCTCCCACCTACGAAGTTCGCATGGCGTAAGTTTACATAACTGTAGACATATGTTCCGAGCGTGACTTCTGCATAAGAGGCGGGCCTGTCTTTCTGGTTCTGACCTCTTTGTGTATGGTGACTCGGTTGGGGAAGAGGCAAGGGGTACTTCCGATGGTCTGCAGCCAATTATTTTTTGTATCCTTATTTTAATTACGAAAGTTTGCTGCGATATCTGAGTTTGTTCAAACGCGACGACGCGTCAAGTGCGCAAACAGCGCAGGGAATGATCCCAACCTACTTCTCTTGCAACTACAGGCAGCGTGCCGTGGCCCATGAGGGAAGAGCGTTATCGAAAGCTGATAGTGGCTGTGCTAGTCAGGAGATTCCACGTCTTTTGTGGAGGTTCATTACAATGTTCACAAGAGCCTGTTATTGGCTGCTATCAAGACCCACTTGAATGAATGCCCTCACACGTTATGCGTGTTTTGATTTTTTATATTATTTTCTATGTATGTGAGCCGTGATGCCCCAGTCGGTATAGCGACGAGTTACGGACTGGACGGCCGGGGTTCGATTCCTGGCAGATGGAAAGAGATTTTTCTCTAATCCACAGCCTCCAGACCAGCTCTGGGGCCCAACCAGCCTCCTATCCAATGAATACTGGCGGCTCTTTCTGATTCGACCTATCCCTTGGTCTGAGAGCCATACTTCACCTACCCCTTGCTCTCGGATTGAAACTTCACGTACCCCTTGCTCTCGGAGTGAAACTTTAGATATCCCTTGCTCTCGGAGTGAAACTTCACGTACTCCTTGCTGTCGGAGTGAAACTTTAGATATCCCTTGCTCTCGGAGTGAAACTTCAGGTATCCCTCGCTGTCGTAGTGAAACTTCGCCTACCCCTTGCTCTCGGAGTGAAACTTTAGGTATCCCTTGCTCTCGGATTGAAACTTCACGTGCCCCATGGTTTCGGAGTGAAACTTTAGATATCCCTTTTTCTCGGGGTGAAACTTTAGGTATCCCTTGCTGTCGGAGTGAAACTTCACCTACCACTTGCTCTCGGAGTGAAACTTTAGGTATCCCTTGCTCTCGGATTGAAACTTCACGTGCCCCTTGGTCTCGGAGTGAAACTCCACCTACGCTTTGCTTCCATAGTGTAACTTAACGTACTCCTTTCGAATGTTCAATGGCGACTTAATTTTTTATTTCCAACGACATGTGTATGACGTGTTTTAAACAATAGAACACGAAGAATTTTTCATTATAATTTAAGTTATGAAAGAGAACGATATCAGTACGTGGTAGGCCTTTTCGACCCGGCTGAGAAAGTGCATGAATATGCCTGACATACTTTGTGGGTCCGTGTACCCCGTTGCAGTGGTGCTGAGTGGCGGTGTTTCAGTGGCTGTGACAGCCCTGGCCTCAGAAGCACCTGCCGGTTGCAGCAGAATCCCGTTCACCTTGAAAGTTTGCAAATCGAGCGAAAAATGGCAGGCTGAAGTGGAACATGTGTGTCTGCATATGGCCCCAAACTGTCGAACCTCCCCTTGCCTTCCCCCCTTTTAGTGAATACCAGACGGCTTTAGGAAGTAATGCCAAGTTCTTTTACACGTGGAAAAAAAAACAAAGGGGGAATGTAGATAAACATAAGAAACAGGATTGTAGATTGTTCCGTACATCTGTCCCATATGAAGTTATTGGTAGAAACGTGTTTTACAGGGTTGCAAATATCTTTAAGATCCCCCCCCCCACACCTTATTTTTCTGTGTATGTTTTTGTTATTCCTGCCCATATTTGCATCTGTTCTTTTGCTGTCCATTTGGACATCCTGTGTGTCCGATTAGCGGCATCTCTTGAGTATGTTCATACGCTGAAGCATTCATATTTTATTATGCAATCGCATTCAGCGGCCTATCAGTGAACTTATGAGGTGGCAGGAACATTATTGTATTTTGCGTCTTATGTTCTCACGCCGATGACTATCAACGGTTCATTCTTCAGGGCTGTAATGCCATACGATTCGGAGACAGCCTGACGTTTCTAAGGAGCATATTGCCTCCGCCTTCAGGGTCCAAAGATGAAAGAATTACCTGTTGCAGAAAGGGGCTGTCATGGTTCTCTCAGATTCTGGCCTGCTTCTACTGTTTTCGTGTTTGTCTCTTCGACCCTGAAGACGGAGGCGTTGTATTACTCCGAAACACCACCCTCTTCCCGAACTGTATAGCGTTACAAGCCAGAAAACCGTACTTTCCAACATTAGTCTTACAACTGAAGCAAGATGGCGGTAGACTGTAATTGCGCAGTCGCAGAGATTGTCACGTGATGGTGGTTAGTCCAGTGAGCGTC